CCTATAACTACCTTTTTTATGTAGGATTTATCATGAAATTCTTTCAAAACTTGAATAAATTTTAATATATCCAGATGGGGATTATAAAAACTTTTATTGAAATCCATATGGAATTATTCGCAATAGTTTATGGTTCATGTGCTAGGGGCTGCATTTTTGCGGTAAATTTGGAATAATAGACCTCATTGTGTTTGTTGTTTTCAATTTTGTTAAAAGGGTAAATTTATTTCCGATGTTTTAGGTTTTTCTGATAATCCTTTTATGTATGCCTTTGTTATTTTACATATTTTTAGACTGCACTGGTAAGCGTATTTACACAAAATCATAGAGCTTTAAATATAAATTATTAATTATAAAACCTATGTTAAATGTAAATATAATGTAATTTACTGTTTTTTAAAAGTAACATGTAATGCTTTTGGCCCAGTAACATTGTTTTTTTACTTAAAGAAAAAACTCGGGAATTAAAATCTCCCAAGTTGGCAATTCTTTTCGTTTATGTTTTAAGGAGATTTTATTCTACAATATTTTTATTTCGTTTCTTTAGCTTATGTCTTACGGGGAATCCTTCGACTGTATAGTACGTCCTTTTTATTTGTTTTCGTTGTCGGTATTCGTTAATGTTTTAAACACGCAATACACTAACGCCCGGTTCCACCAACGTGACTTAAGTAAAAATTTGATCTTAAGAAATAGTTTTTACTTAAGTCCGTTAATTTTTGTTCCACCAACTAAAAATATTTACTTAAGTATAAATATTTTTGCTTAAGCTCAAGTCAGCTACTAGGACGACGACGACTAGGACGAGTAAAAATTTTAACTTGGAGCACATTCATCTGTCATATATTGACATATAAGTGAGGTTAAATTTAAACCTATTCTGTATATTATGTTAATTTTCGCATTTAGTTGATATAATTTTTTAATTTTTATATTCCTATTTTTTATAAATTCTACCGTAATCTTTAATAAAACGTAGTATATAATAGTTGATAGTGTATATACAGTGTACATAGATATTTTAGTGTTGATAGGATTTTTTCTAAGTATATATATTTTTTTTAATTCCACGGAAGTGTATAGTTTATCGTGTATATAATAGAAAATAGTGTGTGATATTTGCAAAAATGGATCATTATCATTATCATCTAGCCATCATTATCGTCATTATAAATTCTAAAATTTTACTATACTAAACATATTTTCATTTTATATTTCTCTTTTATTTTTTTTATGTATACTTTATTAACTTCTATGCAATTTCAATACTTTCATATTTTTAAACATAGAACAGTTATTGGCTTCAAATTTATTGTAAACAAATAAAAACTAATTATACTCCACAAAGATCATAGTATATAAATAGACTTCATACTTTACCTTAGTTATATGGACTTGTAAATTTTATTCCAATAAATAAATAAAAAAGATGACATCAACTACAATGTGTCAGTATATAACAGAAATAATAATATAAATAATGACTTTTTATTGAAATCTTATTAACTGATTAATGTTTACATTTTTTTTATTTCATTCTCTAGAGGTTCATTCTCGAACATAAGTTTTCTTTTTTGTTGAAGCATTATTTCCAATTCTACTTCTTTTTATTTTATTTGTAGGGCTTGGAGTTTTGCTTGAAAGGCTCTCTATTCTTTCTTTATTTCCTTCTCTATTTCTGTCTACTATGAAACTCTACATGAGCACAATCCTCTATTTGATTTTCTTCTCTGAAAACAAAAAAAATAAATAATTTGAATTGTATTAAATACTGAAGATTACATACCTGTTACTACAAAAAGCTTTTATCCAGTGCAGATTCATCATCATACGGGTTGTTCAACCCAACGACTGTTTTGTTGTTTATGATTTCCAATACAGTCTCATCTGGTTCATTCTGAGACTTGTTCAAATTATTGTCACTATACTATTACTATAAATTACTATTTTTCAAAACTATCCCTAAATTTTAAATTATTATTTACCATTATTAACTAGCAACAGAATAAATTCGCAAAATACACAAGGATTACCATTTACAATAAGTATAAATATTATAAAATATTGAAATGACATTAAAGACAGCATCAAAAATGACAAATGACACAAATTTTTCTTCTTTGTTGTTGTTTTTTTGTTAATAACCAGTCAACAGGTTAAGAATTTTTGACAACTTTGCGAAGTTGGTATCTTTGATAACTTAAGTTTTTTCTTGGTTAAGTTAAGTAAGAATTAGTATGGTGGAACGCAAATTTCAACTAAGAATTTTTTTTGACTAAGCAAAACTTACGTAAGATTTTACTTAGATCACGTTGGTGGAACCGGGCGTTACACATTTATCTAGCCAGTGTTGTTATGTAATGCCATCAAAGAGGAAGAGATTTGTTTCACCAGCTATTTATGGCCCAAAAAATCCTATACAATACAACTGTGCCAAAAAATGCCAACAATATTTTGAAAATGGCTAAAAAAAATAAAAAATAAAGCAAAGTTTGTAGAACCTAATGATGTTATACGATTTACGAGAGTTTAAAGTGAATGCCTCAATAAAGCAGCAATGGGGTACTGGTATAGCTAAAGTTACTTCATAGTCAAGAACTTTGTCGTTTGGTTGTCATGGTATCTAGAAAATGAAAATCTCTTGACCACAGTCCAAAGTGGTTTTCGACGAATAAGATCTGATCTAAGATCTAATAAGATCTGAGAACGACAACTTAGTGGCACTTGAGTCAACCATTCATGGTGCATTCTTACTAGATCAGAAAATTATAGTAGTCTTTTTTAATGTGAATAATAGTCTCGACACAACATGGAGATACTTTATATTAAATAAACTTGATAAATGGGGAGTTCAAGGACATATGCTTGCGTTTATAAAAAACTTTCTGAATAAAAGAGAAATACAAGTAAGGTGGTAAGGAATACTCGACAAAGGTGTTCCACAAGGTTCTATTTTAAGCCCAACTTTATTTTTAATTACATTAACCGATGTGATAAATACAATTAAGCCTCCTATAAGAGAAAACTTGTACGCTGATGATTTAGTTGTCTATATTAAATGCAAAAATATTACATCTGGGGCTAAAATACTACAGAAACTTCTATACAAAATCGAAGAATGGTCTTCCAAAACAGGCTTCCTCTTTTCAACTAATAAAACACATTGCACAGTATTCAGCAAACGCAAGAATACCATTGCTGTTTCGTTAATATTTAACGGTCAAAATATATCTCATTCAGAGGAATCAATTTTTTTGGGCCTAACGTTTGATTACAAATTAAACTGGAAAACTCATATTACGAATTTACAACTAACTTATCAAAATAGAATAAACTTGCTGAAAATTCTATCCAGTAATATATGAGGAGCTGATTCTAGTATTCTGCTTAACCTCTGCAAATCAATTATTCACAATAAACTGGACTACGGTGCAATATGCTATGAAACAGCAAATAAAACGTTGCTAAAAACCTTAACACAATTAAAACAACAGCTCTAAGATTAGCCGTCGGTGCTTTCAGAACCAGTCCTGTAAGCAGCTTACAAGTAATATCAAGAGAACCCCCTCTACATCTAAGACGACATCTACTTAATTTAAATTATGCAGCAAGAATATCTTCCAATAAAAAGCACCCATTATATTCTGATAACATTAACGCACCTACATCCAATTTGTATAGAAACAAACAATATAAATGAGAAACCCTTTAGGGAAAGAATCAATCAAAAAGGATTCAATTGCAATGAATTCAAATTATCCATAACCACAAAATTAGACTTCCCTCCATGGCTTATCCCCTTACCTATCACCGATTTAACTTTAACACAGTACCCAAAAAAATACCACAAAACCTAACCTTATCATTAAATGCATTCAAAGAAATTATGGAGAAGTATCCAAATCACCACATAATATACACAGATGTATCAAAAACAGAAAATAATATTTTAATCATCACAGATTCACTCAATTCATGGAATTAATTAACTTTTCCCTAGCCATCCTATTGCACAAAATATAAGAAATGAACGTAATGCACTACAACATATAAATAAAAAGGTTACAGTTTATCTGGATACTTTCACACATTGGCATTAAAGGCAACGAGGAAGTTGATCAATTGGCATTAAAATTTATCAGAAATGAAAACGTTCCAGAAATTACTAAATATCCGTACACCGACCATAAACGACAGTCCATGAATCATATAATAAATTTATGGCAAGCAACCTGGGACGCAACAGACTCTAAATTGAAAACAATAAAACCTCGAGTACACGCCAGCCTACCACAACAAGAAAAAAGAAGAGAATCAAGTAATCGAGAATCGTCTTCGAATCGGCCAGACAATACTAACACACCAACACCTTCTAAATACAGAACCAGCTTCGATTTGTACCTACTGCTCTACTCAACTCACGGTGAAGCATCTGATAATCGACTGTCCTCAGTTCCAACCATAGAGAACATGCCGAGGAATTAGTGGAAACCTAAGAAGTGCGCTTACGACAAATATCTCGAATTTAATGCAGTTTCTAAAAGACATAAACATTTATAGTAAACTTTAATTTATCAAACTGTACTACTGTGTAGGTCCCCCCACTAATAACACTTGGTGGTGGATGTGGGTTTTCTGTTTAAATAAAATAAAGAAAAAAAATGAAACATAAGTCTAATAGTCTATTAAGTTACCAAGAAAAGAAATTACTATCACAAATAATAATGAATAAAAGTTATTGACAAACTATTAAGGTGAATATGTCGAAAATATAGCAATATATCAAAAATTATTATGATTGAGTTGAATTTGAACATTATCCTATTTCTCAAAATATATTATATTGTGGTTATCATCTATAGTACATTCAAAACCACGTTTTATTATCCCTATTCATCGACTACTTTTGAGCATAAAACATCTGTTCATATTATACATTATTATATACATTCTAAATGAACAACCACTCACTCCTTATTAGCTAATATAAAAGTATTTACCTTGTTTTCCTCCTGGGAAATCATCTTGTTCCATTTTTCCTGTTTTAGTCTGTAAGACTTTGTCAAATATGTTAAAATAAATTCCAGTCGGTCATCCTCCGCATCGTCCCCATCCAGTTGTTTTTTATCACCCATTTTTACAATTTACTTTTCCACATTTTTGTCAGATGGACAGAATTGCATGTTGAACTAACAGTAAACAGTTTGCTTAGCAACAGCTAAAGTGGCAAATTGGTGTGAACTATTATAGACCAGGAAAAAAGAATAAATATATAATATTTATTCTATATACATATTACTAATCAAGAGACAAAAAGAAGATATTATACTCTGAAAAACTAGATAGGAGATGTCGTCTTTGGCCGGTGGAAGTGGACTAACTCTTAACGCTACTTTCAAAAAACTTTGATTACCAGGGGAATCATGAACAGTCGTAAAAATGTCGTCGGATGAATTAACGATCGAGTTGAAAAGGAGGAAGGGAGTAAATAAAACAAGAGGATGTTTTTTAAGAGAAGTAAAAAGGCTAGGAAGAACTGCAATTTTAAAAATAAGATCTTGAAAAGAGAAATGATATTATGGTAATTCTAAAACGATTAGCCTTAGGTGTGAATGGTATTTAAGGCGAATAAAAGATGTATGCTAAAGAGATGAGAGAATTAGCAGCGTAAAACCAGACGTTAAAGAAAGAAAATAAAACCGTAAAATAGTTTCGAAACACAAATATGAAATCTTTTTTGTCAGATGTCGCTATTGCGTCCGTATCGAAGCCATTTTAGTGTTGCTTCTTAAAAGACAGAAAATATTGATCTTTCACGTTGAGAACACCTTCGAATAACTGTTCTGATGAAACCTATTAGGTCGAAATACGTATCAACAGATACAAAGGCGCTATTTGCGTGAAATCAAATATTTGCTGTCTTTTCACTTTCAAGAAAATAAAATTATTAAGAAGAAAAGCCAACAGCCAATGAAGAAAGTTCGAGATTGAAGTAATAGACTGTGTCACTTATAATTCTACAATAACTAATGTGAAATAAGTGAAACGTCTTAAAATTTTTAAAGCTGAATATTTGTTTTATTGTTCTGAGGCTATTTTCTTGTTGCGTCTTAAGGTTTTTACTATTTTATTGGGAATAAGTCACAATTGAAGTTTAAAGTTTATTGACGTTTCAATTTTCACACAAACAGTAAATTTACTGTTTGTATTTGGAGAACGATTTCCGAAGTGGAAATTGAAACGTCAATTAACGTATTTTTATCTTTAATTGTGGCTTATTCCCAGTTAAATAGTAATTAATTTAAAATGCCACAAGAAAATAGCTTCAGAAAAATATATGTTTATTAAAATGATAACATTAAAACCTTTTGATCTCCCATCTTCACAAATTAATTCAGCCATTAATGAACTCTTTTGCCCAAATCAATACGCCTTTGCAATGATGGAAGTAGATCCGCATAGCTCTTTAGTTTAAAACAAGCACTCATCCAAAACTTTTACCGCAAAAATCAGATTAATAGGAGCATCCACAAACATCAATCTTCCATTCCAATTCCCAGACTTTCCCGATCAGGTCAAACAAATAGTAGAATTCAAAATATGATTTATGATCATTCCATTTCTGTTTGCCATTCCGATTTAAGTTCAGTCTATCTAGCACTATCTTTATGCAAGTCACAAAATTGATTTTTTGTGAGAATTATCCAATTCTTTCCACAGCTCCGTCTCCTCTCAGAACAAATTTGATCTCCTTCGACTATAATATTGTATATAATATTGTTTGACCCAAAATTTTCAAATTTAAATTAATTATGAATGTTTTTCCCGTTGAAACGATTCCTTGAGTTGTCCAATTTCTTGTTCTATGCAAAATAAACTTTCAGTTCTGAACAGGCTCCTATGTAATTGACAATATTAAACAAGATATTGCAATTTAGTGTCTTCAATGCTCTCCGAATGCACGTACCTTTCCAATGATGCGAGGCTCTTTTCCTCTCGCCAAACTTAATCTCTCGTTCCTAAATAAACAGCGACACGTAGAATACAAGTAGGAAAAGTTTACTTACAAATTTGTACCAGATCAACTACCGTTTGACACACTTACTTCACCAACTCACAACTTATTATTTTTCACTTACTACCCCTGGAGACCACCTCGAAAACCAACCATTCACTTTATGAAACTGGAACTAACTAACTATCTCATCTCATCTATCCATCCATCCAACTTCTCATTATTCACAACCCATCTCATCACTTTCCACATTCTCGGCCAATCAGAAATTTGCATAAAACTCCCCACATAAAATCAGAAAGACCTACAAACTTTCCTAATTCATATTATTTCTACAAGGACACTTAATTTCTACTGGGTATTTACAGATTCCGAAAAACCATTTACTTATTAATTATTTTTATTGTCCTGTTCATGGCGCAAACCCGGATTACGGAACACTTTATGGCTTATGGGAAAAAACCATCGTTAACTTCTATTCATTGTACCCGCACTATCCACTTGTTATATTTATACAAAAGATTATTTATGACTAAGATTACCTTTGGTTAATTTCAGGCAGTTCGGAGTATTTTTACTTTCTATAATCTCTGAAATATTGATTCCATCGTACATTTAATATTTTTACTCTTAATTTTGAATACCATAACAATGTATATACAGTGCTAGTCAAAAGTCCGTTCCCCCCTTCGTATCTTTTGAGCAGTTATTGTTATAATAGTGACATTTGGAGGGAAGTAATAAACAGACGTAGGTTTCTAATCTAGTCATAACAGGTGACGTAATAGTGACAGATGACGTTACAACGCCACTGTGACAGATAATTTTAAATGGGACCTTATGGCAAGTGATACCTCGTTTGAAAGGTATTGAAAATACCTATTTAGTCATAATAATTGTATTTGAGTTTAAGCTCATTTTGATAAATAAATTAAATAAATACTAAAATTGTAGTTTCGCATTTAATTAATAAATATTAAAACCTCCGCCTCTGGTTACTTGTCAAAAAGTTGACGTTTTTCAATTCTCTAATTGTTTTTACGTCAACGTCAACTTTTTTGACAATTAACCAGAGGCGAACGTTAGAATATTTATTGATTAAATGCGAAACTACAATTATTTTAATATACCTATTCAATCATACTAATTTTGTTTGGATTTAAGATGCTTTTGACAAATAAATGAAATAAATACTAAAATTCTAATTCGGCATTTAATTAATAAAAATTCTAACGTCAGCCTTTGGTTATTTGTCAAAAAAGTTGACGTTTGTCAATTCTCTAGTTGTTTTTAGTTTGCAAAAGCGTTTATAGCCCAATATTTAGTTTCTGTTTCTACTTAGTTTAGTCAATTCAAGTTTAGTCAAGTTGTTTTTAGTTAGTTGTTCTTAGTTAATATTTAGTTTAGTTAGTTAGTAAGTTTAGTTTATTATTCTTTACAAAGGCAATGGTACGTACTGTATCCGATAAAGTAGCAGCTGTATTACTAATTGGTGAATGTGGAAATAATTTCCATGCAGCGGAACGTCTTTTTAATGAGAGGTACCGCGATCGCCCTATATCGAGATCTTATTTGGGAAAGCTTCTTCGGAAGTTTAAACAAACAGGTAGTGTTCAAGATGTCAAACGATCTGGTCGACCAACAATTAGTGATGACAAAAAAATTGACATAATATCAGAAATGGTAGTGAACCCTACTTCTTCTACAGCCCAAGTTGCATCTATCTATGGAATTAGTCAAAAGACATTTCATCCATACAAATTAAAAATTGTGCACCAACTTTCAGACGATGACCCCGACCGAAGACTAGAATTCTGTGAAAATATGTCCAATAAAATGAACCAACAGCCCAATTACATAAAAACAATTTGTTTTAGTGACGAAAGTACTTTTTCTCTCAAAGGAAATGTTAACACACACAATGTGAGGTATTGGAGTGACACAAATCCTCACGTCTTTCGTGAAACACATACTCAATTTCCAAAAAATATAAATGTTTGGGCAGGTATTTTGGGAAACCACATAGTTGGGCCTGTTTTTCTCAATACTAACGTAACCGGTGAAGTGTATCTGGAGATGTTACAAAATGCAATTGAACCATTAATACTTGAAATTCTGGAGGATAATCCAGAATAATTCGGCAACTTGGAAATAAAGTTTCAACAAGATGGTGCTCCTGCACACCATTATGGTGCAGTAAGACGTTACCTAGATGAGGAATATCGTGGTAGATGGATTGGACGACGAGGTACGATAGAATGGCCAGCTCGGTCACCGGACCTCACACCATTAGATTTTTTTCTGTGGAGATACTTGAAATTTAAAGTTTACGCTACAGCAACCGACAATATTGACATTTTGAAACAACGAATTGTTGAAGAATGTAGGGCAATTTCCACCGACACATTTGAACGAGTACGGCAAGAGTTTAGAAATAGGATGCATTACTACCAGGAAGTAGATGGAGCACATTTTGAACACTTACTATAAGAACTGGTTGTTAAATATTTATCAATTAAATGAGAAGCTACAATTTTAGTATTTATTTAATTTATTCATCAAAATGAGCTTAAACAAAATTATTATGACTGAATAGGTATTTTCAATACCTTTCAAACGAGGTATCACTTGCCATAAGGTTCCATTTAAAATTATCTGTCACAGTGGCGCTGTTACGTCATCTGTCACTATTACGTCACCTGTTATGACTAGTTGAGAAGCCTACGTCTGTTTATTACATCCCTCCAAATTTCACTATTATAACAATAACCGTTCAAAAGATACGAGGGGGGAACGGACTTTTGACTAGCACTGTATATATATATATATATATATATATATATATATATATATACAGGGTGAGTCACGCTCAACGGGACGGAGCCTACCGGGAAAACGGCTAAAGATATTAAAAATTTCTTTTGCAGGAATACGTAGGTTAGTACCGGCTACAAATTAAAATTTGTGAGATATATACAGGGTGTCCCAATTTGGCGTAATGATATAAACTTATACTTTTTTAAATGGAACAACATATATTTCACTTTAATTTTGAATTCTACTGAACAAAATAATGTTACTTTATTCAACATTCCCTATACCTATTTTTGACCGGTTTCGATTTATTTGGGTTTTTCTGAAAATGTACTATTCGCGAAATTAATTAATTACACAATATCGCA